TGTTATATTAGATAAGTTATGTTTACGTCATCATTCATGACAGCGTCGTGGTCTGAGCCTGAACACGTCTCACAGTCAGGCTCAGTCGAGTTTTAGGTGATTGTAAGATTATTATAATTATTATCACAGATGACAGAAACATTTAGAAACACTTTATTGTTTTTAAAATGTTTTATTTTCTGATGACGGTCACATGGTGGCAGAGATCTGGTCGTGATTGGTTGGTTTGGTTTTTGTGGGACTTTATTTATTTTGGAAAATCACATATTTTTTAAAGATAATGATATAAAAAGCAATAAAAGTGTTTCCTGACTGACCGATACAGGAAGTTCAATAAAAACACGACAGTGTTCGGTTCAGTGAAGATGATTCACTCAATAAATTAAATAAAATGTAAATTAATAACAGAGTAAAACCTGAAACCTGAAACCAGAGCGACTAAATATGAAGGAAAAATAAACGCTAACGATGAAAAACGGTAGAAAAGTCCAAAAACATTCAGTCCTGCTTTAATTCTGAGTTTCTGAGTTTTGTTTGATGCTTGAAGTGAAGCGTGACTCTGATGTTTTGCTGCAGTTTGTGTTTCAGTGTTTTTATTTTATGGCTGAAAAGTTAAATTAAAACCTGAACGTCATCGTTATGATTTTATCGTTTATTCTCAGTTTGATCCAGTAGAACCTGAGTTCTGTTTGTGGCCTCGTGTGACTCAGCAGGAGGAACTAATCACCACAAACGATCATAATTAGCTTCGTCTGACTCGTTAAATCCTCCCTGATGAGGTTTCTTCAGCCCCGGTGGTCAGACTGTGAGGCCACACTGCCCCCTGTGGGCGCCGGCCTGGAACTGCAGCCGGCTCCAGTCCTGCACACGTCCAGAACTTCTCCTGAACCCGAACACAAAGCCGAGGTTCTGGTTTTACTTTAGATGTTATTTTTGCATCTGATTTATAATTAAATCTCTGAATCTGCATCAAACTGACATTTTCTCCCCAAAACATCATTTGTTTGGTTTGAACTCAGATTTCTTTGAACTTTTCTGCATTTTCACTGACGAGCCACAAACTTTTTTATTATTTTTAGGTTAAATTTTAATATATTTTATTTAGAAATGCATGAATAAATGTAATAATTTTACACTTCGGAGGCTTCAGTGGAGCAGAAACATCTTCACATGTAGAAAAACATCCAGAAACGTCGTTTATTTGATCAGTTTATCATATAAATGGAGACGTTTGAGTTTCTGCATAAGTTCGGCTGCAGCTCAGATTAGTTTCAGGTAAATATTCGCACATGTTGAGTTTCTCTGTGTCGGATCTTAACCTTAACCTGGATCATAAATGACATTTAAGGGTTTTAATCGTAATATTTCATGAGATAAATAATATTTGAGGCTCCTACATGTGACATAATGAAGCTCTGAGGTGACGTTTGTTCTATAAAGTCTATAGAAGGCAGATTTATTCATGACCAGATGTTCCTCAGCTGGTCCAGGGAGGTTTTCTTCTGTTGCTGCTCAGTGTTTCTGCTCATGTCTGCGGATCTTCTCCTCCGAAGCTCCGAGCGTTTGTTTTTTTTCCAGCCTCTTAACTTTCGTTGCGTTCTCCCCCCGCCATGCCTTCCTTCAACCAGGAGATTGAGGAGGTAGGACCTGTCCGTCTGTCCGTCCATCTGTCTCCAGCTCGCCTCCACCCGCCTGCTTCACTCCTTTCAGTTCTCATTGTTTGCCATCGCTCGGCCCGTTGTCGTCACGGTCTCATAGTTCTTTGCTGTTTTTGTGTTGCAGCTGCCAAACTGCCACATGAGGCAGTTTGTCGGGATGAAATCTGACGTTCGGGGATAAATTATTCTTTTTGTTATTTTTTATTTGGGACCAAATTTTCTAATTTAAGCTCAAATGAGAGACAAACTTCTTCATGTGGCAACTTGGATCACGTGGTTCAGTGATTCCCGACATTTCTACCCCCGGACGAACCTTTAATGAGCGTTAGGATAAAAATAAAACCAAATCCGCTGCTGCTGTCGGTAAATACATGAAAACCAGGCAGCAAAATAAACCCGCCGAGGCTAAAGAGTCGGCTAACGTGGTAGCTAAATGGTTAGCGAGAAATAATGCACCAAATATTGTTTAAAAAGTAATAAATGAATAGTACAAATAAATGGATTAAGAGTTAAAATCACCAAAAGTCATAGATAAATGTTGGGTAAAGATAAGTAGCTGGCAAAAAGTAAACGGATTAAATGGTTAGCTAAAAGTGATAAATAGCTAAAATAGTTGATTAAAGGTTTAGCTGAAAGTCATAAACCGCTAAAATAAGAACTAGAAGGTTATAATGGGCTAAAATAATCAGTTATAGTACTATAACCCAACCCTAACGCTAGTAAACAGCTAAAGTACTGACCTAAAGGTTAGCTAAACGTAATAAACAGCTAAAGTACTGACCTAAAGGTTAGCTAAACGTTACAAACTGTGAAAATAATAATCAAAAGATTAGTTAATAGTAATACATCATGAAAATATTGACTTAAAGGTTAGCTAAACGTAATAAACAACTAAAATGATTCATTAAAGGTTTAGCTGATAGTCGTAAACTGCTAAAATAAGAACTAAAAGATTAGCTAAACGTAATAACCAGCTAAAATATGGACCTAAAGGTTAGCTAAACGTAATAAACAGTTAAAATCATAATCAAGTGATTAGCTAGTCGTAATAAATAGTGAAAATAATGAATAAAAGATTAGGTAAAAGTAGTAAATCGCTTAAGCATTGACTTAAGGGTTAGCTAAAAGTAATTTAGCTAGCCTAAAGGGTTAGCTAAATTACTAACAGTAGCTAAACGATTAGCTAATGGATTAGCTAATAGTAATAAATAGTTAAA